AACTGGGAGGCTGATGTGCAGACGGAGCTGCGTGCGCGATGATGCACGTGTCCAGGCTATGCCCCGCCGAGGCCGCCTCCGCCGCGCCACCCGATTGGACTGCAGGCGCGTGCTGGGGCCGGCCTCCGTGTAGGGGCGGGTGCTGGCCAGGGGGGGAGCATCGACCTAGAATCGTCATGAAGATCGGCGATGGGCCCCCGTTAGCGGATCCGAACGTTCCTGGGCGGGGTGGGCTATCGGGCCCCCACCGGCACTGAATGGGCCAAGGGGGGTCAATGCATCCCGCCCCTGGACCTCTCCCCCCGTGACGTTGCCCGCGAGAATCCGCCCTCTCTCTCTCTCTCTCTCTCGCCCGCCCTGTTCTGCCACGCTTCTCGCGAGGACGCCGCGCCGCTCGCGAGAGCACGGCGCGACCCGCTGCCGAGCAGAGGTACGCAGTGAGATGCACCCGTGGGCCTCCCAGCACTCCAGCCGGAAGGCCGCGCGCGGGGGCCTCAGAGGTGAGCTATCGTGCCAAGGAGGCGGCCAGCGCCGCGCACCGAGAGCGCGCCAAAGGGGGACCAAGGCAGAGGGGATCTGCCCCCACAGGCAGCGTGCTACCATACAGTGAGGGTCTTGACCTAAGGAGCCCAAAATAAGGAACGAGGCCCCTTTTTCCATAAGTTAAACTTCGATTTCCGATCGAAAACATAAGGATAACCTGAGGCATGCTGTGAAACACTTAAGGAACGCAGAGCCCCTCCCCAACCAAAAGGGTTCCTTCTTCAGGGCCCCGACTGTAAGAAAAGCACCGAGTGAGAAACGCAGGGGGTCTGCTGGCCACGGCGAGCCATGGCCACGAAGAGGCTCCCCGGCCTGGACCGAAGGAACCGCACGAAAGCCAGAGCCCCTCCTGAGCTCAACGTGGCCCTTGCTTCAACGCGCTGACACTACCCGCTGAAGTGTCCGTCCGAGGACCCTAGGAGCTGGAAAGGCTCAGGCAACCCGAGCCCCCTCCATATCCTCCGGGCGTCAGAAGGCCTCTGGAGCCTCGGTGCAGCGCCACAGCGCCGCCCGTTGACATGCCGAGGGGGCGCTGGACAAATGATGAGCAGCACGAGGACGCGGACTGGGCGCTGGCCTGCCGAATACTGGGTACTGCGAAAAATCGTTGCGCGATCTTCCCGCCGCGCAGTTCAGGAAGTCCAGGTAGTGGAAATTCGACAGCAACCTCATATGCCGAGTCACCACCCACCGACCTCCTCCTCCACCATCTCGAGTAGGCTGAGTGTCCTTACCCGCCCCTCTCTGCGACACCCCAGACGAAGAGTAGGAAAAGAAGAAGCAGAGGGGAAATTGAAGAGCATACACTCTGAGAAACTCGAGACACCCGTGACAGCCAGCACCGATTTGCTACCGCCGCGCGTGTGGCCACACGCTCCTGCATCCTCGTCCACCGTCATCTGCCCTCCTTCACCGTTGTCCATCGGTCTCCTTCGTTCTTCGGGAGCGGCCAAGAGGGGGGGGCCCAAAAGGGGGGGGTGCAAATCATGACCGGCGGCATGTGCGCGGCCGAGCGGGTGGGCCAGGGACGTAATGAAATAAGAAGAGGCGCCATGAAATCTGGGAAAATATCATGGCCCCCGCCATGATATCCACCCCCCCTAGTCATCACCCCCCTCTTTTCCGCCCCCGAGTTCTGTTCCTCCTCCTCCTCCTCCTCCTCCTCCTCCTGCTCCTGCTCCTCCTCCTCCGCCGCCCCTGCGGGGACACAATCGGGGCTCTCTGACATCTGGCGCTTCTGGAGGAGGCAGCCGGCGGCGCGGCCGTCCCAAAGCATCCTGGCACGACACGCCCCGATCCCGGCCACGCCCGAGTACGGGGTCGGGCACGGCATCAGCAAGTCGACCGCACGGCTGTTGCGGCAGTCTCGAGGAGGAGGGAGGACGAGGAGGGAGGACGAGGGAGGAGGAGGAGGGAGGACGAGGGAGGACGAGGGAGGACGAGGGAAGAGGAGAAGGAGGAGGAGGAGGAGGAGGATGAGGAGGAGGAGGAGAAAGAGGGAGCAAGGAGGAGAGGGGAAGAGTGGGGTGGAGGAGATGAGGCTGGGAGGCTGTTGCAGAGGGACCTGGAGTCAAAGAAAGGATGAGGAAGCCTCCCCATCCGACTCGGAGGACCCCTCGTCCTCGCCTCTGTCTGGAGGTTTCCTCGCGGCCTCGCCGAGGGCCGTGACCTCCGCGAGGTCCGCCGTGTGAAGACCGAGCGCCTTCAGGACGACGACGGCGACGACGACGACGACGGCGACGACGACGACGACGACGACGACGACGACGACTGCCTGACACCCGCCCGCCTGACCCTCCATCTGGAGCTAGCTGCCGCAACCACGCGCGGGAACTGCCCAAGGCGCGGGCCCGCTCTGCCAGAGCGCGGTCATCCTTCGGACGTCGCGGGTGATCTCCTGTGGGCCGGGGGGGGGGTACCGCACGCCGTCGCCCCGCTGAGACGGCGGAGAGTCGGATCTCTCAGGAGGCAGAAGGTACGCGGGAAGAGAGAGAAGACAAGATGGAGGAGTGATTGGGGAGGCGACGTGAAGAGGGAGGAAATGGAGGAGGGAGGACGAGGAAGGAAAGGAAGGAGGAGGGCACAGGACGGGGGGAGCAGGGACGAGAAGGGACTTGGATCCAGAGGAGCGGCCCTCGCCTAGGGCGGCGGTGCCAGCCTGGACGACGGGAGCAGCGCGCCGGTCCTGAAATGGGGCCCACGCTGAAGCGGGAGTACAAGATTTCAAAACTGGAAACTCAGATTAGAACAAACATGCATTACATCAAAAACAGGGTCCGCCAGACGTCTTCAGGGTAAGAAGGAGACACCCCTCACATTGAGTTATTTCTCAAGAGACAAAGCGGAAGACTGTTTTGCATGGCTCGGCCCCAAGAAAGTGTTTCACATTTTCGTGTTGCTTCTTGTTGCTGGTTGTTGTCTTCGTTCCGCCTTTGACGGTCCACGAAATCACCAAAACAACGGTTCGCTCGAGTCCTTTGCTTTCCGAAGACAGAAACCGCGCGCGAAACACACCCGAAGCGACGCACAACCACCCCGTACTCGGAACCGACGCCACGACAACGAGATGGCCGCGCAACGCCGCGCGAGGAGGAGGAGGAGGAGGAGGAGGAGGAGGAACAGAGAGGAGCATGCCTAGCCGACGTTGACCCCTGTGACGGCGGCACGAACGGGGCGGAGCTGATGATATCAGAGGATCGTGCCGCAACTCCGCTGCGTCGGCGACGTCGGGACGTGGAATCGCGCTCCAGCCAAATGTTGATTAGGGAAGGCGTTCCAAAAAGACTCCAGAAACCACTGGAGATCTCTGGGAAATTGCCGGGGGTCTCCGGAAGCCACTGGAGGCCTCAGATGGCCCGGGACAGGTCGATGATTCACAGAAAGGCAGTCCAAGCCCCACCTGCCGAACCCCGGGATGCTGAAGCAAGCTGGTTCTGCCTCATTTCAGTCACAATAAGAGCACGCTGCGCCATCACATTCGCGTGGTTTGACCTCCTGGGCAACGTACATCGTCAGCACGCAGTGTCCTGTCCATCAACCGCCTGGTGTATGCCTCAAGGTCAACGCGCCGAACCCCCTCGCTGGCCCCCTGGCTGCCCATGCCTCGCAGGCCTCCCCTTCAAGAACGCAGAACGACTTACTGGGCATCAACTTCCGGAGACCCGCGCTGTCGGAGGTCCGCGCGGATTTTGTTCCGTCATGGGCCACCCTGGCGGCGCCTCCAGCCCTGGCGCGCTTCACGTGCCAAAGAGGGAGGCTGCTGAGATCACGAGCGCCTTCGTGTTGGACTCAAGGCCTCATCGAAGTGCCTCGACATTCTAAGATGGGGGAGCCCAAGCACGGAGAATACAAGCAAAACCCCTGCAAAACCAAGATCGAGGGATTGTCAAGAGATAGGCAGGGTGACGCTTCCATTGTGAATGCGAGCAGCCTGGTCATTGCCTGCCCACTTCCTAAAACGCTGCCTGCCAATGCTGCTGAGTGACGAGCACTGGTGGTCACAGGTGCCGTCTGCTGCTCATTGGAGATCGCCAGTGCGCTCTGTTGCACACTGCTACTCTGTGCTGCGCACTGCTGCCAGTGATTAGATCACTGCTACCTGGATGCTTGCTCGCTCACTGATGCTCGCTGCTGCTCGCTGTTACTCAATGCTGCTCATTGCAGCCCACTGCTGGGGCACTGCTGCCAACTGCTGCTGACCTTGCTTTCATTGCTCGCTCACTGCTTGATTATTGCGTGCTCGCAGACTGATCAACTCACACTCACTGAAGCGCATGTCTAGCAATCAGTGAGCAAGCCGTGAGTATCAGCGAGTGGCAGTTGGCATCAATGGGCAAACATGCCCAACAAGTGCACAGCACTGAACATAAGGGGAGGACAGAAGTGGGAAGCAACGAGCAGCAGGGAACGGCAGCGAGCTACAGTGATCAGCAGTGAATATCAGCAAGCAGCAGTTGGCAGGCAGCGTTCACAGAGTCTGCTAAATGGTTGCCGAAATGCTGATTACGACGTTATTCAAACAACATGTTGTCGCGATTCAGCTTCACGGCCAGCAGGGGGCAGTGGGCACTGCCAGGAAGTAGAGCGTAGAGGAAAGAGTTGCCGCAAGAAACACTTCGCCACCAATGATCTACAAGGCTGCACCGTGCGCCGTGTACCTTGACCGAGCCGAGGCCACCTTCACCACGGACCGTGCTCTACCGTTGTGAAGTCACGCTTGGGGAGAAGCCGATGGGAGGTGCGAGACCAAACAATCTTGGCGTCAGCACCTTGCGGGGCCGCAGCAAGAGCACGAGGAGAGGCAACAGCAGGAGCCCCGAAGGTAGGGATCCTCCTCATTCTCCTGATGCTGCTACTCCATCTAATGCGGACGAGAGAAGGGCAAAGGGACGAGGGTGAGCGGCATCACCAGAAGCACGCTTGGGCACCGGGGGGCGGGAGCAGGAGGAGAACGAGTGAAAGGAGGAGGACGAGGGGGAGGAGTCTAATTCACCCCGCCTCCTCAAATCATTCAAAGCAGTGCTTGTTTGAAGGGCTGCCAATGAGTAATGAGAGCATTCAGAAACTATTGGCTGCAATATGGATTGACAGCCTCGAGGCCGCCACGCGGCCACTTGAGAACCCCCCCGCCCTCCAGAAAGTACAGGGCAGCTTTGAATACATAGAATGTTTAAAACCATAGGATGTTTAATACATGGTTAACTTAATAGTAAATTCATGCATGAGCCCATCGTAACCTAACAGCGAAGACTGATAGGTTCTAGTGGGGTCAAAAGAAGAGAGCATCGTGACGCCCGAGGGGCGTCTGGGCGGGATCCAGACAAAACCGGACAAAAGGGTCAGGCCCAGGAATCCTTAGGAATGATTAGGAATTGTTAAGAATCCTTAGGAATCCATTCCCAGAACACCATTCCCAGGCCACATTTTGAATGTCCGGAGCCAACTGTAGGCCACTTCGTGTTCTTCGTGTTCCCAGAACACCATTCCCAGGCCACATTTTGAATGCCCGGAGCCAACTGTAGGCCACTTCGTGTTCTTCGTGTTCCCAGAACACCATTCCCAGGCCACATTTTGAATGCCCAGAGCCAACTGTAGGCCACTTCGTGTTCTTCGTGTTCCCAAGACACAATTCCCAGGGCACATTTTGAATGCGCCGAGCCAACTGTAGGCCACACCGTGTTCTTCGTGTTACCAGAGCACCATTCTTGTACCATATTTTCATTGCCCGGAGCCAACTGTGGGCCACTTCGTGATCTTCGTGTTCCCAGAAAGAAGTCCTGTGCCATATTTTGAATGCCCGAGCTGAGGCAGGCTTAGGCCTGAGGCAGGCTGAGGCTGAGACTGAGGCTGAGGCAGGCGCCTGAGGCAGGCTGAGCCTGAGGCTGAGGCAGGCTGAGGCAGGCTGAGGCTGAGGCTGAGGCTGACGCAGGCTGAGGCCGAGGCAGGCTGAGGCTGAGGCAGGCTGAGGCTGAGGCAGGCTGAGACTGAGGCTGAGGCAGGCTGAGGCTGAGGCTGAGGCTGATGCAGGCTGAGGCTGAGAGGCTGACGCTGAGGCTGAGGCTGAGGCAGGCTGAGGCTGGGGCTGAGGCCGAGGCAGGCTGAGGCTGAGGCTGGGGCAAGCCGAGGCAGGCTGAGGCTGAGGCTGAAGCTGAGGCAGGCAGCGGCTGAGGCTGAGGCAGTGGCTGAGGCTGAGGCTGATGCAGGCTGAGGCAGGCTGAGGCTGAGGCTGATGCAGGCTGAGGCTGAGGCAGGCTGAGGCTGAGGCTGAGGCAGGCCGAGGCTGAGGCTGAGGCCGAGGCAGGCTGAGGCTGAGGCAGAGGCAAGCCGAGGCAGGCTGAGGCTGAGGCTGATGCTGAGGCAGGCAGCGGCTGAGGCTGAGGCAGAGGCAAGCCGAGGCAGGCTGAGGCTGAGGCTGAGGCAGGCTGAGGCTGAGGCAGGCTGAGGCTGAGGCCGAGGCAGGCTCAGGAGGCCGAGGCAGGCTGAGGCTGAGGCAGGCTGAGACTGAGGCTGATGCAGGCTGAGGCTGAGGCTGAGGCTGATGCAGGCTGAGGCTGAGAGGCTGACGCTGAGGATGAGGCAGGCTGAGGCTGGGGCTGAGGCCGAGGCAGGCTGAGGCTGAGGCTGGGGCAAGCCGAGGCAGGCTGAGGCTGAGGCTGAAGCTGAGGCAGGCAGCGGCTGAGGCTAAGGCAGTGGCTGAGGCTGAGGCAAGCTGCGGCTGAGGCAGGCTGAGGCTGAGGCTGATGCAGGCTGAGGCTGAGGCAGGCTGAGGCTGAGGCTGAGGCTGAGGCAGGCTGAGGCTGAGGCAGGCTGAGGCTGAAGCCGAGGCAGGCTGAGGCTGAGGCTGCAGGCAGGCTGAGGCTGAAGCTGAAGCTGAGGCAGGCTGAGGCTGAGGCTGAGGCAGTGGCTGAGGCTGAGGCAAGCTGCGGCTGAGGCAGGCTGAGGCTGAGGCTGATGCAGGCTGAGGCTGAGGCAGACTGAGGCTGAGGCTGAGGCAGGCTGAGGCTGAGGCTGAGGCTGATGCAGGCTGAGGCTGAGAGGCTGAGGCTGAGGTTGAGGCAGGCTGAGGCTGAGGCTGAGGCCGAGGCAGGATGAGGCTGAGGCAGAGGCAAGCCGAGGCAGGCTGAGGCTGAGGCAGAGGCAAGCCGAGGCAGGCTGAGGCTGAGGCTGATGCTGAGGCAGGCAGCGGCTGAGGCTGAGGCAGAGGCAAGCCGAGGCAGGCTGAGGCTGAGGCTGAGGCAGGCTGAGGCTGATGCAGGCTGAGGCTGAGGCTGAGGCCGAGGCAGGCTGAGGCTGAGGCCGAGGCAAGCCGAGGCAGGCCGAGGCTGAGGCTGACGCTGAGGCTGAGGCAGGCTGAGGCTGAGACTGGCTGAGGCTGAGGCTGAGGCTGAGGCAGGCTGAGGCTGAGGCAGGCTGAGGCTGAGGCCGAGGCAGGCGAATCCTTCGGAATCCTTAGGATTCCCTCGGAATCCTTAGGAATCCCTAGGAATCCCTAGGAATCCCTAGGAATCCCTAGGAATCAGGATTCCTAAGGATTCCTAAGGTTTCCTAAGGATTCCTGTGGATTCCTAAGGATGCCTAAGGATGCCTTAGGAATCCCTAGGAATCCTTAGGATTCAATTTGATCCTAAAGCCGTTGCCACTGCGACTGTCATTGCGAATTCGACTGCGACTGCGAGAACAGCAGAATTCTACAACTGGATTCTCACCTAAATCGTAAGGGGAATGCTTCCAGATATGCTTATACACATCGCTGTTAGGTTGCTTTGCCGGGATAATTGCTTTTGATACTAAATCCTGGTATTTCTAATACATGATCCGCACGCGAAGCATGTATTAAAGACGGCACTGTAGGGACTGAAGCATCGTCCAATGATGCAATTCACTCCATACGCGGCCCAGGCGGACCCGACAGCTTCCCCCATGGCTTTCCCCCGCGCCGAATCTACGTCTGATGGCCCCAGGTCCCGAAAACCGTCCCTGGAGGCCGACACGAAAGGGAAGCGCCGCGATCGAAAAAGGCCCCATACGCAGGAGATGTGGGTGCGCTCTAGAACCCTCGTGCCAGCTGTATGCGGCGGAGCCAGGCGGGAAGACAGAGGGGGCTCAGAAGACCTCACTGCCTTCTGGGCTTCTCAGAGCCCTCTCCGAAACTGCGGCCGGCTTCTCAGAAGGCAGGAGGGTTACTGAGAAGCCCCGCCAACTTCTGAGAAGGACCACCCGCCCCCTCAAGGCTGCCTGGTGGCTTCTTGGCCATAACTCGGCTCTTCCGTGGCCGTTCGGTTCGGGACGATCTGGGCAATCCCGGAACGTACTCTGCGAGGCGCAGGAACGCATCCCGAGGCTGGCAAACTGCGGGGAACCCGCGAAACGAAAACGCAACCTCGAGCCTCGCACATAAAACTTCCAAATGCCCCCTCGGCGCGCAACAGCTGCATGCCTGTGCCGTCTTGTCTGCACTAGGTGGCGATATATATATATATATATATATATATATATATATATATATATCAGAGCCCTACTACTACCCCCACAGACCATCGAGTCCTGAATCGGTGGGAGGTGGGGGTAGGGTTCGGGTTTCGTCACGTGGTCGACAAATTCCGATCACTATCCCCGCAGCCCATAATTGCCTGGATCGTTGATCGGTGAGGGTACCGCAGGCTCCTGTCGTGCCGACTCTGGCTTTTGGCCTTTCTGACACCGCGGGGATCGTTCAACCATGGACGCTCGGCCGTTTCCGAAACGTCAAATCGGTCAACATCGACCGAATCTGGGTCGCTGGCGGTCGGGGATCTTCTGACCCGGGTCAATCCGGACCCGGGTCAGCAGGAAACCAAAAACTGCAATGCAGGAAAAAAAACTGCAACGCAGATTTGCGCAAACCCGGGTCAGCCAATATGCGCTGCCGCCTCGCGGCCACGAGCGGCTCGCTAACCCGGGTCAGCCAGAGGGGGTCTTCGCAGGATCCTGCAGGATCTGGCGCTCTGGCTGACCCCCGTTTGCACTGACCCCCGTCTCTCAGGCCCCGAGGCGGCGTCCAACTGTGAATTCCGGCGGCGAGCTCGCCGCTGGTCGACACGGCGCGGGCACACCGTCGAACGCGTCGCCCTCCCCGTGCCGCCCCGCCGAGCCCCTCCGCTGGGCACGAGGTGCCGCCCTCCCCTGGGCCCCGCCGCCGCCGTCGTCGTCGCCGCCGTCGTCGTCGCCGCCGCCGACCCCGCCGTCCCCTCCGCCGCCGCCGCCGCCGCCGTCGTCGTCGTCGTCGTCGTCGTTCTCGTCGTCGTCGTCGTCGTCGTCATCGTCGTCGTCGTGGTCGTGGTCGTGGTCGTCGTCGTGGTCGTCGTCGTCGTCGTCGTCGTCGTCGCTCGTCGTCCTCGTCGTCGTCGTCGCTGTGGTCGGCGTGGTCGTCGTGGTCGTCGTCGTCGTCGTTGTGGTCGTCGTGGTCGTCGTGGTCGTCGTCGTCGTCGTCGTGGTCGTCGGCGCCGTCGTCGCCGCCAAGGTGCAATGCTCGGGCGCCTCCGCGTCGTCCTGCAGGTGCTGCGGCGGGCCGGGCCGCGCAGCGCCGGAGCTGGAGGTGGCCCCGGAGCCCTTGCCGCGGTGCTCCTCCACCAGGCACAGAGCGCGCGGACGACGTCGACGACGACGACGATGACGACGATGACGACGACGAGGACGACGACGACGACGAGGACGAGGACGACGACGAGGACGAGGACGACGACGACGACGAGGACGAGGACGAGGAAGGCCACCGCTGAAGGTTTACATAGGGGAGATATCTGGCGATCTATCTTTCCAATCTGGGTATTTCTCCCTCGATTTGGTAATCTTGGGCACCTTCTCTAGAGGCCTCCTAAATGGGGTCGGAGTAGATGAGGTCGGAGGATCGCGCAGCATCGGCGATGCATCGCCGATGCACTGGCGATGCCACGGCGATGTCGGCGATGTGTTGGCGCCGTCGGCGTGGCGAAAATCGGGCTCCACTTCGAGCCGCATCGACGATGCATCGGCGATGCGGCGCGATCCTCTGACCCCATCTGCTCGGACCCCAACTGGGAGGCCTAAAGTTTCTCACTCGATTCCGGCATCTGGGTTTTTTTTTCCGAGGCCCCGAAACCATCAGTCACGGACTGGGCACGACAAAGTACCCCAGGGTGCCTCTCCTCGATTTCGGCACCTGAGCGACGAACACAAACGGATCTCACGCACGATATCGTAGCGACCCTACGCCGCGGCCGACGCGCACCGCCAGCGTGGCACGCCGCGCGGAGAAGTGAGGCGCGCACGCGCGCCCTCACGCGGGAGGCTTGCCCGCGAATGCCGGCGCAGGCGACCCCGTCTTCTTCGGTCGGTCATCTGTGAAGGGGCCCTGGAACACACAAATAAATGCACACAAATAAAAAGATGTCTCATATTTTCCTTATTTTCTGGGTTTCTGTCTTCCCCCCCACTTCCAATATTTTCCGATGTTTTCTGGGGAATCGCCGATTAATTGTGTCTGTGTGTTTTTTCCCCTCCTGAATCTGGGGCCTCCTGTCGGGCCCCGGGGCCATCAAGAAAATGATCTCCAGGGCGGAAGAGCACCCCGCGGGGGGGGTCCGGAGCTCCGAGAGGCCGCGGCTCGAACGGAACATGCCGGAGGATGAGGCAAAGGGGGCGGCGAGAGGCTGCCGCTCTCGCCTCCGCACCGTGGGCGGCGCTCGCCGCCGGGAGGGATGCAGTCAAAATCGGCAATGGGGCCCGAGTTCAAGGATGTGAGAGCCTTCGATCGGCGCGAAAGCCAAGGATGCGCGCGCCACACGTGCCGAGGACGGCCAAAACCGACGGATGCACGGTGCGAGAAGGGGCAGATCCTCAGTGATGGCTTTGACTGTATGCCATTCGAGGCGCCGCCTGGCACTGCCCGTGTTCACACGGCCACAAACAGGGGGGAGGGGCGGAGCCGACGCCACAGGAGTGTTCTAGGGCACGCCGCAGGCAAAGGAGGAGGGAGAGGCAGGGAGAGCATAGGAGGAAAAACAGAAACATTAGCCTGACGAAGGACCCAACCATATGCAAGTGTGAGTACCGCAATTGTGATTCCCTTTTTCGGTGGTGATCCCTATGAGGCAACGAACCGTGCTAGGGGTGTGCCGAAATGAGTGGCGTGGTACACGACGCGAACGAAAACGATTGATCTGAGTACGTAGGGAGACTGAGCGCGGGCGAATATGAGCGCGAGTGCGTCTGACTGTGAGTGAATCTGCGTGCGAGCGAGTCTACGCGCATGAATGCGAGTACGCCAATGCATGGTGCAATTCTATATGAATGGTAATAGTTTGTGAGCGACTGCCTCTGGGTACTCGTGACGCTGGGCGTGGCCGCCGCAAGGAGCTCCCCCGGGGCTCCCCGACGGCATCGCCCGCGCGCCGCGACGCCACCGCGAGGATCGCGCCCGCTTCCTCCCCTTCTTTTACTCCCTCTTTGCCCGCGCACTCAAAAGTCCAAAGCTGCGGGCGCAGCGCAGCGCGGAGTCCCAGCGACGCGCGCAGGTCGCCCCGGAGGGGTCCCAGCGACGCGCGCGGGTCGTCCGCTGCGCGCAGCAAAAAAAGCTAGCTGGCTGGCTGATAGCGGGCAAGGCTCTTGCCGCTGGGCAGAGCGACGACGGGCGAGCGAGGCGCGGAACTCCGACGCCCTCCGGCGGAGGTGTACTGGGTGGGGGAGACGCAAGCGGACTGCGCCACGGGGACCTTCGGTGGAGCTCCCTATGGGGCCACGAAACGTGTGAGGGATGTGCCGACATGGGTGTGCGGGACGCATGCGGGCACACCCACTGGGACCTTCGGTTGGGTTCCCTATGGGGCCGCGGACCGTGTGAGGGATGTGCCGACATGGGTGTCCGGGACGCATGCGGGCACACCCACTGGGGCCTTCGGTGGAGCTCCCTATGGGGACACGAAACGTGTGAGGGGTGTACCGAAATGGGTGTGCGGGACGCATGCGGGCACACCCACTGGGACCTTCGGTGGAGCCCCCTATGGGGCCACGAAACGTGTGAGGGGTGTGCCAAAATGGGTGTGCGGGACGCATGCGGGCACACCCACTGGGACCTTCGGTGGAGCTCCCTATGGGGCCACGAAACGTGTGAGGGGTGTGCCGAAATGGGTGATGACGATGATGATGGTGGGAGGAGGAGGAGAGGAGGAGAGGAGGAGGAGGAGGAGGAGAGGAGAGGAGAGGAGACGCGGGGACCGTTTCTTCAAAGCGAGGACCCAACACCACAGCATGGTTGGGAACAAGTGGGAGTGGTGGAGCGGAGGAAGGCTGAGGGGGAGAGTGGTGGCGATGGTGGCGACGACGACGACGACGACGACGGCAAGGCCAATGACGGCGCCCATGCTGGCATCGGGTAAGGTTACGCGGCGGTTGCCTTGGCAACTCTCGACACGAACACTGGAGCCCGGCCGTCCGCATCCCCTTTGGAGACAGAGACGCACGCTTGGTACATGCCGCTGGAGGACTCATTCCGACGTTGGGGACGTCTCCCCCCAGCAGGCCTCCAACGGAAAACCCTGCATGCCCTAAATTCTAAATTTTTGACGTACACGTTCAAATACAGGAGGCCCCCGTACGCACGTCCATGAAAGGGTTTTTTCTCTGAAACGTACCAAAAGACGCCCACTTTGGAGTCTCGAGTCTCGGCTGCACTTTGTGGTGTGATGTAGGGATACCTTCCAACGTGTTCGGTATCTGCCCCAAACACTCTTATGTTCACTTGCTGGAAGACAATGCCCACACGATGTCCATCCACCCGATCGACGCGCATCGGCCTGCACACGAAGCGATGAGTCCTGCATACGAGATGAGCCTGGGAGCCTAAGAGGCCCCACGAAAGCCTGGTGAGCCTATTCTGGGCCAGAGGGTTCAGCTTTCAAGAGTTCTGCAAGTAAACCTAGCAGCACGCTAACAGCTACATTCATAGATGTTGTTTCCCCTGGGCCTGCCCTTTTGCCCATGGGCGCTAATGGGGTCCCCCCCGGATCCGGGGCCCTAGAGGGCCCCCCGTTTTGTGCCGAGCCTGTCCCCTGTCCTGGCCGCTGCTGTACTGGCTCGACGCAGGCCTTGAGTCGCATCGGCTTGGACAGGTCGATCGCCGTGCGCTCGACCCCCTGGCGGCCGCGCCGTCCCCAGACAGGCAGGCCCCTGCGGGACCCGGCCTCCAGCAGGCCAACCGCATCAAGCAGGAGGACTTCCAGGAGCCTAAGATCAAGCAGACAGGTCAGAGAGCCCAACGTTGCGAAAGCTTCCTTCGCGCTGGGTGCCCATCAGGCTTAGTTCTGGTGGGCTTGTTTTCCACCGCCACCACCATAAGTAGGAGGGGGAGGGGGTCCTCCTCCTCCTCCTCCTCCTCCTCCTCCTCCTCCTCCGCCTCCTCCTCCTCCTCCTCCTCCCCCTCCTCTTCCTCCTCAGCATCCTCCACCTCCTTTCCCCACTCCGACTTATAGTGGTGGTGATGGAGGACAGGCCCATCAAATTCTGCCATGGGCCCCTCGCTGCCAGCGTCCAGCGGGAACGCGATCGCCGAGGGCTGGTAAGCGCCAGGCCGCTCTACCGTTCACCGGCCGCGACGGGCGCACATGGCCTCTTCGGCGGATCACGCTCCGCTACCCACTGTGGGAGCAGGAGACGTAAACAGATGTTCCCCCTTGAGCGACTACGGATCGTAAGTCGAAACGCTGAACCTAGACGTGGATGAGTGGATTCCCCAAACAATCGGCGATGCGGCAAATCTACGCGGACCCTACTTGTGAGGCTTGGAGTGGACCTGACAAGGCCAGGGCGGTCGAGGGAGCCGAATCGGTCCTGCTGCGGCGGGGTTCGCGTCGCCATGGAGCCGTCGACGGTTTCCGTCGCCGCGTGGGTCGTTTGTGCCGTGGACGATCCCAGCATTCCGGTAGCGCACATCGCTGCATATCGGTGGATCCTGGGCCACCGGCGGCGCTCGACCTCGAGGACCGCGCCAGGGTCGCCGACGCGTCGCGTCAACGCTGCGAGGGCCTGCAGCAACCCATGCAGCCCCATCCGCGCGGAGCGGGGCGGCTTCGGCCTCGGAGGAACCCGTGCCATGGCAGAGGCACCAGTAACCAGCCCCGAACGTATCCCTATCCCTAAGATGGGCGAGCAAAAAGCGAGGACAATCTTAGGGATAGGCCCTCAAGAACTGAGGGAATCCTTAAGATCGGCATCGAGGTGAGGTGATGTCAAACATTAGGATAGGGATATGTTCCAGGCTGGTAAACCAGGGGAGAGGGGGGGGGGGGATGGCGGGAGCGGAGGAGCCCGAGGAGGTGCGGGAGGGGGGCCACCGAGGCCGCTGAGCTCACAGCCGCACGAGCTGCACGACTTGCACTAGCAGGGGCAGGCACCGGCAATGAGGACCAAAGGCCCCTCCTCCTGACTCGAGGACCGAAAGAAAATCGGCAGGATCTTTTGAACAGGGAGCAGGCGTATCCCCCGAGAGATCCTCAGCAATGAGCTAAGAAACTGCAGGCAGAGTTAGGAAGAAGGCAGGGGCCCTGTACAACTGGAACTTCCCGATCCTTCGCAACAAGAGCTCCTCAGGAGGATGAGACCGTCCACAGCAAGCCACGAAGAGTGGGCGTGAAGGTTTCTTCGTCGCGCGACACCAAAGTAGCTCTGGCCCGAGCCAAGCCTTTTAAGGAACATCGCTGGCGTGAAACGCACATGGCGACCAGTCAAGATGGGAAGTTGCAAATGAAGCGCCCCTTACAAAAACGGCGAATCCGTGCGCGAAGCAGTGGCTCTACACGTACGTTGTGTCGTGAATGGGATACGCAGGACGGCGGAGGGATGAAGGAAGTCCTTCAGGATGTCTGCGATGACGTCGCAGTCCCTGTGGCACTCGAAGCAAAGGTAGAGGCAGCCCCCGTCGACGGTGATGATCTCCAAGGCGTTGGCCTGTGCAACAAAAATACCCTCGCTGAAGAAGCCAAGGAGGAGGACCCAATGCGACAACAGAAGGGTGGACGGTGTGCGCAGACTGCAAATAGCTCGGGACCAGGACAAGAGCGTATGCATACTGAAAGCCAAGCAGGATATACAATGTGCAGATACAATATACATATACACCTATACGACCACCCTTCGGGTGATGAGGAGGTTGTGAGAGGGGGAAAGGGGGGGAGCCAGCATCTGACTCAATCGATATCACGATCGATCTCACTCAACGGGACACCGCGGGACACCACGGGACACTTGTCGATCTCACTATCGATCTCACCATCGATCTCACGCAACGGGACACCACGGGACACCACGGGACACCGCTCGATCTCACTATCGGTCTCAATACCGATCTCACTATCGATCTCACTCAACGGGGCACCATGACACCACGGGACACCTCGGGACACCATATCGATCTCACAATCGATATCACGATCGCTCTCACTATCGATCTCACTCAACGGGATACCACAGGATACCACGGGACACCACGGGGCACCACATCGATCACTATCGATCTCACTATCGATCTCACTCAACAGAACACCACGGGACACCACGGGGCACCTCGGGGCGCCACATCGATCTCAGTATCGATCTCATTATCGATCGCATTATCGATCTCGCTCAACGGGACACCACGGGACACCACGGGACACCTGTCGATCTAACTGTCGATCTCACCATCGATCTCGCTGTTTGGGACACCACGGAACGCCACAGGACACCTCGGGGCACCACATCGATCTCAGCATCGATCTCAGTATCGATCTCAGTATCGATCTCAGTATCGATCTCACTATCGATCTCACTCAACGGGACACCACAGGACACCACGGGACACCGCGGGACACCGCGAGCCACCGCCGGACGGGCGGGCGGGGAAGAATCATTTGTCTCGATTTTGCCCTAGCATCGGCGGACACCACGAGACACCACGGGACACCACGGGACACCGCGAGAAACCGCTGGCGACCGCTGGACGGGAGGGAGGGGGACAGTCATGTTCCACGACGTCGCCAAAGCAACGGCGGGTTCATTCCTCTCGCGCGCCCACGCAGCTTCGCCTCGCCCGCACGCACGACACGAACGAAACGAAATGATTTCCAGGTTGGGGGTCTCCATTCCACTGCGATCTCACCCCCGACCTCCGATATATATATATATATATATATATATATATATATATATATATATACACACACACCTATACGACCACCCTGCGGGTGATAAGGAGGTTGGGGGGAGGGGGACCAGCAATGGGCAACTGTGGTGATTGTTGCGTTGCCGCTCGCTCTTGGGACCATCGATCCCACTATCGATCTCACTCGATCGATCTCAGTTATCGATATCACTCGATCGATTCACTGTCGATCTCACTCTGGATCTCGCTATCGATCCCACTATCGACCTCCCTATCGATATCACTCGATCTCACAATCGAATCACTATTCATCTCACTATCGATCACACTATCGATCTCACGATCGATCTCACTATCGGTCTCACTATCGATCTCACTATCGATCTCACAATCGATTCCGTCATCGGGTTCACTATCGTTTTCGCACCAGCGGGATACCGGGACACCGGCGGGGCACCGGCGGGACACCGGCGGGGCACCGGCGGGACACCGCGGGCCACCGCTTGCTGGAGGGATAATCATGTGGTCCAGCCGGGACCCAGCCACAAGCGGGACACCGGCGGGACACCAGCGGGACACCGCGGGCCACCGCTTGCTTGCCGGAGGGAGAATCATTTGGTCCGGCTGCGCCTCAGCCACAAGAGACTTTCCTCTCGCCCGCCCACGCAGCTTCCCCTCGCCCGCACGCGCGGCACGCACGAACACGAAACCGAAACCGATTTCCCGGTGGGGGGCTCTCCGTTCCTCCTCGATCTCAACCCCCAACCTCCGATACGTATATATCTATATATACATATATACACATATAAATAAATACATGTTATACACATGCTATATACACATATAATATGTATAGAAGACTGCAGCGGTGCTTTGCGCAACCCACCTTGGTCCGGAAGTTCGCACTGCAAAATCACGCGCTGGGACCCCCCACCACGCCCCCACCACATCTGATACCCCCAGGCTCCTGGGCCCTCCGTGCGTGCTGTTTCAAGGACCCCCCACCCTGCAAAATCTCGCGCCGGGATCCCCCACCGCGCCCCCACCACGTCTGACACCCCCAGGCTCCTGGGCCCTCCGTGTGTGCTGCTTCAAAGACTGATCAGCTTGCAAAATCACGCGCCGGGACCCCCCACCACGCCCCCACCACGCCCCCACCACTCCTGACACCCCCACGCTCCTGGGCCCTCCGTGTGTGCTGTTTCAAAAGCCCCCCCACCCTGCAAAATCACGCGCCGGGACCCCCCGTGAGGTTGATATTGAAGACTTTGCGGAGTGAAGTGCCTCTTCTCTACTCCTCTTCCTCCTCATGCTCTGTACCAGCGGCCACCTGGAGACCCCTGAAGCCCATTGATGGCGAAGAAGCCGGAAGTCAAAAACTATCGTGTTGATGTCGAACTCCTGGTGGCGCCAGAGATGCTTCTTGGGAGCCTTTTGGGAGCCGCTTGGAGCCGCCAGGGGGGCATTCGGTGCGCTATGTTTTTTGTTGGTGCCCTCGGCGCATCGATGCAGATGGGGAAAACGTACATGCAGATGGGGCTGAGAGCACCGCAGAGGCCTCCGTGGAAAAGCAAATGCTGATCCACGGTAGGCAACTGCAGAACTACGGTGGTGCTGCTTTCGCTGGCCATGCGGGGCGGTCAGAACAAACCGGAAGAGAATGGGGAACTCCCATGATTAAGCAGCGCCAGGCTGTCTGCTGCCTCAGACACATCTTAGCTCAACACCAGCTTTGTGTGGGGAGGAGTGGCCAGGGCAGCGCGACGAAATGCCTGCACGACTAACAAAAACAGCGGGCACGGGGCGCAAAAGTCAGGCGGACAAGGCGCCCTGCCTGGCGCACCGCAACTTCACTGGCTCCTGTAGGGCGCTCAGTAGCCGAATGCTTTGGTGGTGGCGTCCAAGCACGCCATATAGTCCTCGGGCTTCATCAGCGGGTGATACGCCGGGAAGTTCTCGCCGTCGCACGTGGGCTTCCACTTCTTGTTCTTCTTCTCGGCGGTTGACCGGTCCGCCTCGCAAGTTCCGTCCAGCTTGGTGCCGAATGCCTCTCCACGGGAGACGCCGTTCGTATCCAAACAAACCTGCGCAAATAGATCCTCACCCATGGGGCCGTACTTGCCTCCATCAATGCCCGTTTTCCAATCGACGGTGTCCTTGCACGAGGCCATCGACCCCAGGAGCGTCTCGAAGGCCACCGCCGAGAAGATCTCCAAGCTGCCGAACCACCCGTACTTCACGCCTTTGCAATTCTCGAGGTAGAGGCCGTTGGCCGGGACCACCTTGCTAGAGAGGTAAGACACCAAACGGCTCGGCACGAACACCGCGTCTGGATCGACCTTCACGACCCAATTGGCGCTCTTGTACACGCCGGCTTCCCCAATTGCCTTCCAAGCCTGGTAATGCAAGCCCGTATTCAGCCAGGTGCCGGTCTCCTCTCTCTTCGCGAAATGGAAATCCCCGTCGGCATCCTCCAGCTTCACGAGCGGAGCGCCAGGCCCGACCTCCCCCTCCTTGTCGCTGAATACTCCCCAATTCTCGCACCCGAAGATGCTGGTCTTCCTGCCGTATGCTCCCTGGAGCAGCTCCAAGTCGTACATCTTCTTCGTGCTGCCGATGTCCTGCATGACCACTGCGAAGCAGTACAATGACGGGCCGTACCAGTCGGCATCCTTGAGGATCGGGTCCATGATCGGCTGCGTCTGAACGCACAGCTGGGAGGCGCTGGGAGTGCAATTCTTTAGGCACTTGCCCTTCCCCGGCTTGGTCTCGAAGCAGTTCAGGCCCGCAACGTTGCAGCACCCCAGGCTGTAGCAGTCGTCGTCCGTGCTGGCGCACTTGTCGCGCGGCGGCAAGGCTACCGTCTGCACCTTGCTCTGGAGGCGGTCCGTGTCCGAGGCCGCCCCGCGCAGCGCCAAGCGCGCTGCCCCCGCGCCTGCGCCGGCCAGGAGCAGGGCGGCCACGCCTGCACCACCCGCCGCCCGCCAGGGCGAACGCCGGGTGCGAGCGTCCTGAACCAAGAACTGCTCCGACCCGCTCGCCTCGCCGCTGACCTCCGCGAGTTCCATGCGCTCCGTGGCCGAGGTCATCGGTGGAAGGGCGGGATGTGGCTGGGAGTGCTCGCAGATCAGGCCGGCTGCAGACAGCGCTTGAGCCAAAATGGCTACGGAGGGGGCATTCAGTGCGCTATTGGGGCGTCTTGGAAGCTATGTTGGGCTGTCTGAGGCTGGCTGCCTGGGGCCCGCTGGCAATTTGAAAGTCAAGCAGGATATACAATGTGCATTTACAAGCTATATATATACACACACCTATACGACCACCCTTCGGGTGATAAGGAGGTTTTTTGGGGGGAAAGGGGGAAGCCAACATCTGACTCAATCGATATCACGATCGATCTCACTCAACGGGACACCGCGGAACACCACGGGACACTTGTCGATCTCACTATCGATCTCACTATCGATCTCACGCAACGGGACACCAGGGGACACCACGGGACACCGCTCGATCTCACTATCGGTCTCAATACCGATCTCACTATCGATCTCACTCAACGGGACACACCACGGGACACCTCGGGGCACCACATCGATCTCACAATCGATATCACGATCGATCTCACTATCGATCTCACTCAACGGGACACCACAGGACACCACCAGACACCTCGGGACACCACATCGATCACTATCGATCTCACTATCGATCTCACTCAACATAACACCACGGGACACCTCGGGACACCACATCGATCTCAGTATCGATCTCATTATCGATCGCATTATCGATCTCACTCAACGGGACACCA